ATGGACTGAACCGGAGAAGCCAAAGAAGAAAGAAAAGGTGAAAATGAAATTGCCTTTTGCATTTTGTAACAAGAAAGACGAGAGTTTGTTGCTCTGGATTGCTGAGATCCAAACGTATGTGAGCACAGCTCCGGTCGAGCCGGAGTCCCAAGTCGCGTTCACTACCTCTTGCATGGGTGGTGAGGCCAAACAATGGGTGTTGGCCGAGGCCAATGCCGCGGGGCTCGAAAAGATCGGCGAATGGGCAAAGACCCTGACACTGAAACAGTTCTTGGCAAAGACCAAGGACCGTTTTCTCGATAAGACAACGACCGACAAGGCGTTTGACCAATTAGCATCGATTGGTCAAAAGCATTGGACATCGGTCGAGGCTTTGTCTCGAGAAGTCGATCGATTACTGCAGGTCCCAGGATTGAACCTGCAAGACAGCCAAGTGTTGTACATCTATTCCTGCGCGTTGCCTGAGCCCATCCGGGGACATTTGGTGGCCGAAGCTAAGTCAGGTAAGTACAACTATAGGCAATTTCGCGACCTTGCTCTGCAAAGGGAGCAAATGACTTCTCAAGTCAAAAACTCCTATGCAACCGTAGTTAAGTCTGGAGGAGGAAGAGGAGGAGGGAAGCCATACAATGGGAAACGAATCCTCTGGCGACAAAAGCGCCAGGACCACACCCTTGTCGTCTTTGATGACGACACAGTGGAAAAGTGGCCGTTAGAAGATAAGGATAACAACAGTGACTCCGGGAAGGGGGAAGTCACTGCTATTGTGGCCAATAAGGGAGGACCACCTAGAAGTCGATCAGGGAAAAAACCGAGACCGTTTTCATGGCACCTTGGCATTGCCGATGGGAAACCATGGTTGAAGATGGGAATGACTCGCGAGACTTGGCACGAGCGCATGGACAATGCGCAATGTCTTAAATGCGGTACACCAGGACATGTGATCGCATATTGCCCTTTGATCCGTAACCCAAAAGCGAGCAGCCAGTAGGAGTAGCATCTGCTCCTACTGAGATTAAGGGTAAGGACGAACAGACAGGTAAGGCGCCTACGCACCCTTCCTACCCTTCTTCTCATATGGCAGAGGATGATTCTTCCTTAGCCCATCATCCAGACCGCCCCGACATTGTCTTATGTTCTGTCTCTCTGGATGACTCCCTTGATGAGCTAGGTAATGAATTGCTAGCCTTACGTAGCTTATGGGCTCGAAAAGCAAAAGTCTAAGAGCGAATTATTGTTTGCAGATGTTGAAATCGCACGAACACGAGTTGGTGCATTGTTGGACCCTGGATCAATGAGGTCCTACATCTCCGAGAAGGCAATCCGCAAGTTGCATCTCGGTATGAAGGTAAAAGACTGGTCTCGCCCAATCACGTCTATGTTAGCAGACAAAAGTACGATCACTGTCTCTTAGTACGTTGATCGTATTAAGTGTCAGTTCTGAACGAGGGAAGGAAAAAAGATTGTGCACGAGTTATCTTTCCTCATAGAGAAGAATTTGCCTTTTGATCTCATTTTGGGTATGGACTGGCACGAGGAAGCCAACCCGGATATTGACTTCGAAGGCAAGATTGTGCAACTTAAAGATGCACAATCTGAAATGAAACCAATTAAGTTATATCATAAGTTTGGCTACGACTCTAGTTTGTCTTTTTGTTTTATGAGTTACCCAGCTTTTCGTTTGATGGTTTCGAAGAAAAAGTTGGAACAGGAAGTTATGTTGGTATTGGTAAAGAAAACCGTTGAGTCTTCTTCTTCCTGCCCTCCAACTATTGAAAGTCTTCTTTCAAAATAGAAGGATCTGCAGCTTGAACCTACCGGAATTACTGAACGTGCTATTAAGCACACCATTGAGATCATTCCAGGTAGTATAATTCCCAAGGACCCTATCTATAGAACGTCTTCCAAGGAACTTGAGAAATTGAAGAAACAACTGCAAGACCTTACTGATAAGGGATGGATTCGCCCTAGTTCATCTCCCTATGGTGCACCTGTCTTGTTTGTGCCCAAAAAGGAGGGTGAATTACGTTTGTGTATTGATTATCGAGGGTTGAATGCCGTCACCGTCAAGAACGCCGAACCGCTTCCTCGCATCAACAACTTACTTGACCAACTACAGGGTTGTAAGTACTTTAGTAAGATTGATCTGAAGTCTGGGTACCATCAGATTGAGGTGGAACCCGCAGATCAACACAAGACTGCTTTCCGGACCAGGTATGGCCAGTACGAGTTCATGGTAATGCCCTTCGGACTGACAAATGCCCCTGCAACATTCCAACGGTCAATGAATGAATTGTTTTGTCAATGGTTGGATCAGCTCGTTATTGTCTATGTCGACGATATTCTCGTGTATAGTAAAACCTTAGAAGAACACGAGAAGCATCTTCGTTTGGTGTTAGAAAAGTTGTGAGAGGGGAACTTTAAAATAAACCCAAAGAAGCCTTGAGTTCGCTAAGTCTAAAGTTTTATACTTAGGACATATAGTGAACCAAGATGGCCTCAGGCCAGAGGAAAAGAAGATATCAGCAATTAGAGATTGGCCACAACCTAAGTCTGTGACCAAGTTACGATATTTTCTTGGCTTGGCAAGCTACTATAGGAAGTTTGTCAGGAACTTCTCATTGATCGCTGCACCAATGAGAAGATTGTTAAAGAAAGGAACTATCTGGTCGTGGGATAAGGATTGTGAGTCTTCATTCAAGAAGGTAAAGCATGCATTAACTCACTACCCTGTTATGAAAATTGTTGATCCATCTTTTCCCTTTATCGTCACTACTGATGCGAGTCAGTATGGGATTGGCGCAGTCCTTCAACAGAACGACGACAATGTTTACAGACCAATTGAGTTTATGTCTGCACGATTGCCATCAGAAAAAGTTGCCAATTTCACTTACGAAAGGGAATTATATGCTTTAGTCTGCGCCTTAGACACCTGGAAACACTACTTGTTAGGGAGACACTTCACTTTGTACTCAAGCCACTCTACTCTGAAGTGGATAAAGACATAGCCTAGGCTCTCTGATAAGTTAGTACAATGGTCTGCATTCATTGATACTTTTGATTTTGAGTTAAAAACTATCAAAGGTAAGTCTAACGTGGTTGCAGATGCATT